TTGTGGTCATTCTGAATGATCAATTAGGTAAACTAATTTCAACAGATATTTACAATAATACACCTTATTCAAATATTCGAATCAACTTTGAAATATTGCTATTATACTAGTTTCATAGATTTCATGACTTTCTTTTAACATGTTAGAATGCTCCATATTTAAATAAGTCAGAACTATCTCATGAATCATAGTATAAACAATTTCAATTATAATACCATAGACTAAACATTTTGAAAAAAAAATTGTCCTTTGATCCCATGAATGTAGCAAGGGCTTGGCATTCATGATCAAATTATCTTCTCCATGTTTCAGTCTTCTTACTTTATTTTAGCAACTGCACATTCTTGCAAATGTCAGTACTAATCCTTAGTAAAATACTCAAGGTTTAGAAGTAATGTGTTGATGGTATTATAAATCCATATATTTGATTGAATACCAAACATGGAAGAACTAGTTATCTTTTGATCCAATGGAAAGTAGCACGGGCTCGTGATCCATGATCAAATTTTAACTTCTTCATGTTCTAGTCGTTTCACCTCAAATATACATTTTGGGCCTGTATACTTTCTTGTCCTTTTCTTGCTATCAGAACATGTGTTAGAACAAGACTTCCTTTGTCCTAGGTATTTGGGCCTAGATTAGATATACCAACACTAATCGCCTTTTAAACCATGGACAATTGGCTTTCTTCTTCTTGACACTTCTATTCATGATAGTAAATTATGGGAGTGTTTTGAAGTATGAGTTTCTATGATTGGCCATGTTAGTTCCAAAAATGAAACCTCAACATGTTACACAACTCCTTAATGGACATTCCAAGTTGTTCATATCAAAATCAAGATGAATTGATTATACGTACATGTCAGCTAGTTGATTAACCCTAGTCAACTTCTAACTTAAGGAAATTCCATTTTACTTCAATATGTCAACTTACAACGTACATTTGATAATTGCTCTTTCTAACAATTTAGAATGCAATGTTTGAAGTAACCTAGGAAGAGCTTTAACAAAGGCATGATCTTTCCTTTCGTTTATGAGAACTATTCCCATACTACGAATTTTGACAAGATTGATCATCCTCATAGCTAATCCTTTCAGAGGTTTTATAGCAGTAGATTTTAGTGGATAAGGTTATAGACATCATTCAATAACAAATTCCATTATAGTTTGTTTTACTTATCCTTAGAAAATAATCACCCTAAATAAAATTATTTTAGAAGGCTAGGATCCATATTTGGCTCCATGATGTGTAAAGGGATGCCGTAAATACACCATAAAGTTATTTAGGTAGGCAAAGCCATTTGCCAATTTCGATCACCACGAAATTCCTAGATCTTTGAGATTCATTGACTATCAATGGCATGTTAATCTCGGATTATGTTCATCTCAAATTCAGTGACGGGGTCGCCGCGGATCACTAAACAGATGGTGAATCGACCATACAAAATCGCGTAGTCCCCGGCTCAAGTTACGCTTGAGATTCGCGAGTTCCACATCATTCTCTACCTATACTCTCAAATTGACGTGTCGGTTAACCACGCGAGCTCCATCAACAAGTTATAAAGAGAATGTGCAACTTTTATGGATAACATAAGATTCACATTAAATAGATTGAGAATTAACCTTGCAAAATCGCATGGCCCCCGGCTCAAGTTACGCTTGAGATTCGCGAGTTCCATATCATTCTCAACTATACCCTAGATTGATGTGTCGGTTAACCATACGAGCTCCACCAACAGAATATAAAGAGAATGTGCAATTTTCATGGATAATATAAACTCACATTCTATTAATAAAACGAGATTTTGTTTTATACTTGTATTTAGAATACTTTGTGATTGACCATTATCACTATCAAACCCTTTCGGTAACTCCATTCTAAAAATGCAATAGGGCGGTGAGGGTGGTAAGCGCGAAGCATATTAAAAACCTACCTCATTAGGAATCAAAGAGACCTCCTTAAACCCCTACATTAGAACGGGTGAGCCTAGTCGAGGTAAGACTGACAATGTCAACATTTAAACACGCGAGGGCACATGTTATAACTTTCTTATACATATAATAACACAATTCTAATATATATAATACAAGGGGTAAATTTAAAACTCTTTAAATTTAGTTGTCTATTATTAATTCTAATTAATTGCGAGGACGCAATGTAACAATTAATAAAACATGAGGGGTTAATATTCAAATTTATAAAACTCTATTATAAATAATATTCAAATAATAAATATTCAAATTTAAAATATGATCAAATAATATTTATCCATAAACATTCAAATTTAAATGAACACATTTAAATAATATTAATTTTCCAGATCTAATCCAATTAGGTATTTATCCATGCAAGATAAAGCTTGAATTCGAAAACTAAGCAAGATTAAAACGATAATTCTGATCTGTCAATGTTCACGTCGTGAACTACTCTTTCACGTCGTGAATTAGGGTTTTCAACAAGTTACGAATTTTTCAATTAAACTTTCATCATTTAGTTCCAAAAAAATATTTTCAGAAAACATGGATCTAGGGTGAAAGTAACCATGAACCTGGCTCTGATACCACTGTTGGGTCTTCTACGCATCAAATACACTCTAAAACTAGGCAGCGAAAAAATCGAAACAACGATATACCTAAGTGTACATGCATCCTATGGATCTATGGCTTCATGCTAATTACATCAACCCTAGAAAACTAAAACATAAGTAAGAAAACATACCTCTAATGTAGCCCTTGATCTCCATGCGTGAGATCTTGAACCTGCATGAGGTTGCTTGGATGAAAGGACCCAAACCAGAATCCCTCTAATGGTATCACACCCAATGACACCAAAGAGTGGAATAAAATAACTAGGAGAAGGGTCAATTTCACAAACCCAAAGGGGTTAGAAATCGTCCCTAAGAGGGGGAGGAAGAAGGGTTGGCGAAACTTCAAGCCAAGGTGCAAGGAGGAATGAAATCCCTAAGGCCCATATTTATAGCCTTGGATGCCTCCTAGGGTTTAGTACTCCTTCCCATGTGGGATGGAGGCCTAACCACGAAATTTCACTCCTTTCCCATGTGGGATGGAGTGATTTTCATCCAACCCTAATTCCATAAGGTTCTGGAACATTCCTGATTAACCAACTATCGATTAATGAACATTCAACCCTTTAATTAATTAAACTGTTAATTAATTCCCAAAATATATTTCTAGTTAGTTTCTAATTAATTATTAACCATAATAATTAATAAACCAATTTCTCCTTTATCTATTCTACTCAATTTGGGTCTTGAGGGTAACCCAAAAGGACCCTGCTATTATTAGAAATATTACCAATAGTTAATGACCTTGGACACTATTCCAACACCTTCATCCATACAGGTGTTCTCTAAGCCATGCAAAGGCTCCATATTGTAGATCTAAGCTCCTAGGGCATGTTTATCACGTAAAGTTGCAAACTTTACGTGCATGCAAGATGATAATGCCCCAAAACAAGCTAAAGGAGCGGATTAAGGTAAGAGGAGGGTCATAGCTTGACAAGGACTGAAACTTTATGATAGGAAGGGGCTAAAGGAGTCCAGATTTGAGGTTGCATCCTCAGATCTTGACCTAAAACGGAGAACCACCACACAAAACCCTAAAAAGGGCCCCAAATTCATAAATGAAGAGATCTAACTAAAAGAGAGCCAATGTAACAACTTGTTACCTCCAAAATGATGCCAAGACAGAGAATAATTCGAATCTACAACAGCCCCTTGCTCCAACTTCTTGAACTCCAAGCTTTTTACTCCAAAAATCACTCTTCCAAGCTAAGAAGCACACAAATATAGAGAGCAAACACGAATTAGGGTTTCTGAACTCAAGGGAGGCTGCAAGAGAGACTAAGGGGAACAAGTGATCCTTAAATAAGGTGTAAAACCCCGAAAATTAGGGTTTCACCTTCCAGCTCCTACTCGTCGAGTCCCTTCTTGGACTCGGCGAGTAGATCACTTAAACACGTAGACCAACCCGCTGCTACTCGACGAGTCGGGTAACCAACTCGTCGAGTAGACCTTGAATTAAAAGTTCTTATATTCAAAAGAAATCAATACCTGAGAATCGGGGCGTTACATATTTCTCTAATTATCATTTTTTTTCATTATTTAATTTATACATTAAACGTATATTATTTCACCTTGTTGATGTGTTAAATGTAGTTTTTTTTATTGTTCGCTTGTTTGTGTGTTAAACACGTTCATTACCATTATTATATATTATCATAATGTTTATAAATAGTATTATTATTAGCACTGTTAGCATGATTTTTAATTGTTTGTGTTTTAAATATATAAAAACAAAACGATCTAAAAAAAAAGTTTTAAGACTCGAATATTGAAATAATAATAATAATAATAATGATGATAATAATAATAATATAATAATAATAATGGGAATAATAATAATAATAATAATAATAATAATAATAATAATAATAATGAGAATAATAATAATAATAATAATAATCATCGAAAAAAGAAAGTGTAAAAGTAACAGGAAACTAATCGAGTAAGGATATGGCATACCCGACTGAATGGTAAATATATTAGTTAATTACGTGCGAGATCCGAGTTTAATTCCGACCCCAAACCCATTTTTCTTTATTTTGTGTAAACAAGATAAAAGTTGTTTGAGACTAATCTAGTAAGGATGCGGCATACCCGCCCGTTTGGTAAGATTGAGGGTTATATCTGTGTGAAATATCCCCAAAATAGGTTTCCCTCTATCTCATTTTCACTTTCCCCCTTCTCTTTCATAGTATCGCACCCACTCCCGCCTCCTACCTTTATGCCCGTTTGCTTCGATCCTCCCTTCGTCATTTTCCAGTCGATGAAGCTTGCTCCGCCGGAGGTTATTATCGTCGTCGTCTTCGACAATGGTATAGATAGAGGCTGCCCCTCTTAGCTTCGGTCACCCGACTGTCTATGCCCTAAAATCGGGAATACCTCCTCCCTTCACTCATTCGATCGTTGTCTCTCTCAATGGGTGATTCGCTTGACGACCTTCACCGTCGATCTCCTCCCTTCACGACCTTCACCGCCGGCCGCCTCCGCAACCACCATCTTCTTTGCCGATGTTGGTAGGGGCTCGTCTCCGAGACCTAATCGGGTAGTTCACCATGACAGTGCCCCCTTTCACCCTTCTCTCAGTTGATCCACAGTTTTCTGCTTGCTGTTTACCACAACGAAGACCAGCTACCGTGGGACTCCACAACAACACCACCTTCACTGTCGGTGCTGCTTCGATTCCCATTCCACTGTGAAAATGGTGATGTAAAAAACACCTTCCAATACTTCAGTTATTGAACTTTCGATTCTAGGACGAGGACCATTGAGCCAGAGAGGTAATTTCAGATTGATTGTATGGTTTTTTTTCGGTGGTATTGAGTCTCAATCATTATGTAATTAGTTTCCAATATGTGTAATATGTGATTTATCTGATTTTGGTATGTGTTGATGTTTGATTTGGGTTTTGCCATCTGTGGTGTGAATAGGGTTCTTTGCAGCTAAGCATAAGAAAACATGGAAGGAGTTTATTTGTTACAATGATACCATAGGTTTGTTTGCTTCTCGTTTTTTTTGTTTTAATATTTGGCATTTTGTTTTTTTGACTTGTGCTTTGTGTTATGTTGCAGGAAGATGCAAAGACTCTTGATAGAAATGCTACAAACAATACACAGTTTGAGGTGTGTATTTTTTTAGTGCCTAAAATGCAATTCATTTTATGACAGTGATGATTTATATCTATTTTGATTTGGGCTTTTATAATTTTAGCAATTCAAAAAAATGATTTGGCTTATTTGTATGAATTGAATTGGTTTGTATTTAAGTTACTTCTATCTATTGACTATTGTAAAATAGTTACTTACATTTGCAAAAAAAAACATTTTTTTTAAATTTCTAAATACTTCTACTAACTATTATTTTTATTTGTCAAGTAAAAATGATATGGAAATGATACATGTTAATCCAAATTGATTGTTTTGATAAAAAATAATTGAAAGGCGGTGGTTGTAAGCATTATATTTTATTTGTCTAAATACTTCTATTAACTATTATTTTTATTTGTCTACCTACATATTATATTTAATTTTTTGCATCTAAGTATGTTATGTTTATTTTATAGGCGATGGTTGTAAGCATTGATCCTGTGTGGACAATATTTGACTAGTGAAGATGAGGTTGGATTCAATGCTATTAAACTAGAAAACCTGGGTGAGTAAGAGTAGAATTATCAATTATGTATTTTATGTTACTTATATAATAAATTTGAATAACTTATAAATTTTTTGTTTTGTTAGGCCCAAATGAGGAAGAGCATGTCTGGTATCAGTGCACTACTGTAAGTGTTGTAAATAGCAACATATTTTACAGTTTGACCAAATTTTTTATTTTGCTGTATAGATGATGTTTATTGTAATATTTATTTTTGGAAAATGTTGTTTTTGTAATGTGTTAAGCACTTAGTAATGCATTTGACATTTTGTAGTTTAATGTAATGAATTTTTATTTCATTTTGACCAAACTGATTGTTTTTTTTTGTTTTTTTGTTTTTTTTTTGTTTTTTTTTAAAAGGCATTTAGTGACGGAATACCTACGGAAAGTCCGTTGCTATGTTGGTCTGTAGCTATTCCATAGGAAAAAAGTCAATTTTGGTCAAACTCAACTCGCGTGGGTAATCCGTAAGAAATCTGTAGCCATGTCTTTCTGTGGCTATTCCGTAGGAAAATAGTCAATTTTAGTCAAACTTTACACCCGTCGGTAATTCGTAGATATTCCATAGCAATTATTTTTCGTAGCTAATCTGTATATATTATATCTACGAAAAAGGCCGTAGTTATTCCGTATCTAGTCCGCAGCAAATCCATAGGTATAAATTTCCTACGGGCATTTATGCTACAGACCATTTTTCCATAGCAAATTCGTAGGTATCGCCATATACCTACTGAATACATACGGATTGTGCCGTAGGGATTACCCCAATTTTCTAGTAGTGCTATATATATATATATATATATATATATATATATATATATATATATATATATATATATATATATATATTTGGTCCGGTTCCGGTGATAACTTTTTTTTCGGTGATGACTCATGAGGACACCATAAAAAAGTTGAAAAAAAATAAAAAAAAAATACAAATCATAAAATCGAGCATATTAATATATTAGAGAGAAAAAAAAATTGAAAATTTTTTTTGATCATTAAAATTGAATCATGGATCATAAAAAGTGAATCATGAATCATAAATATAAATATGATCCATAATTCAATTTTAATGATCAAATTTTTTTTTTCAATTTTTCTTCTTTTCAATATAGTATTTTGCTCGATTTTATTCTATATTGACACGATACCTATTTACAAGAAGACATTAAATTAGTTAAAGTAATTAAAAAAGCAGTTAAAAATATTAAATCATTAGAATTACCATTAGTTACTGATTACATAATAATAGAAGTTGATGGATGCAAAGAAGGATGGGGAGCCCGTTCTCCTTTGTAAACCCGATAAATATAGCCCAAAAAATACAGAAAAAATATGCTCATATGCTAGTGGAAGCTTTAATAAGACAAGAATGAATTGGACTTCTATAGACTACGAAATACAAGCTTTAATAAATGCTTTAGAAAAATTTAAGATATTTTTACATAAAGAATTTACAGTTAGAACAGATTGTGAAGCTATAGTTCGTTTTATTAAAAATGATCAAAGTAAGAAAATAAATAGGACACGATGGATTAATTTACAAAATACAATACAAGGAAGTGGATATAAAATAAATTTTGAACACATAAAGGGAGAAAATAATGGAATAGCTGATATGTTATCCAGAAATATTAACAGATTATTTTCTGCAGATGGATAGTCGAAACAAAGGAAAGAACAAATTAATACAGCCTACACAGCAAAAAAAGAGTTCCTCTTCCATGAGCATTTCTTCAGAGGAAGATAGAAACACAACATCAACAGAAAAATTATTGGATTCAACAATAAAAACAGAATATCTACATAAACCCACACAACAAAACTCGATTCCTTATATGGAAATAGCGAGTACTACACATAATAATAACCTCTTGCAAGGATCTAGACCCACAATCTCAAAATATTCAACATGCATATTATTGGACAGGACCTTCAAAAAAATACACAATATACACAGAACAGAGAAGCCGTTATAGCATTTGGTAACTGCACTTTACCAATTTGCTTCGATGAACGTAAAAAGTTTAGGCCCATGATTGGAGTAAACTTGACAGAAGACCAACAATGTTTGCTAGACAACTTATGACATATTCAGACAGTTCCACAGGCTTCATCATTTAAAGTTCAAATCCTCAATGCTTTAAGTTTTTACTTTCATAAACAGTCACCATTGACCCCTGAAAAACAAATAAAGAAGTTTACACATTATGTTATCATCAGGGGCACTAAAGTTGGGATTTTTAATAATTGGGCAACAGTCATAATGTAACATCCGGATTCCCAGGTATCTTAAATTATGTATTTTATTGAGTTTTGGAGAGAGACTCGGCGAGTAGGCGCTCAGACTCGCCGAGTAGAGTCGCGAATCTCCATCCGGGTTAATGACTGGACTCGGCGAGTCCATACGTGGACTCCGCGAGTCCATACGTGGACTCGGCGAGTCCACACTGTTTAATGAAACCCTAATTTCTCGGGTTTGGGGACTATTTAAAGGCCCTTATGGCCGCCATTTGAGGTCACCAGTCATAGAGAGAAACCCTAGAGTGCTTGAGCGTTTTGGGAGAGGAAGGAAGCCATTTTTTTGACCTTGGGAGTGTTGTTTAGCAAGAAGAAGGAGGTACTAGCCAAGAGGAAGCATAAGAGATTGCTATTCTGTGGATTTGGAGCTAAGATCTTCACATTTGAGGTAGTAATTCGACTCCCCTTCTGTTCTTATGATGATCATATGGATTTAGGGTTTCTTAGACCCTTTGTTGCTTAGATTTGAAGCCCAAATAGTCCCTTATGATGAGGAGGCTTTGGATCTGGATCCATAGAGGTCCAGAGAGCCTTATTCATTAAGCTTTTTGAATAACAATGGAGGCTATGACCTTGAGTTATGGTATTTGGGGCTAAATCATCATATATGATCAAATAGATGTTGTATGTGCATCAAGATGGAAACTTTACGTGGTTATTGGGTTTGGGAATGATAGATCTATTGGTTAGAGGACTGGATCTGACCTCAGGAAGTTGTTTGAGGATGTGCATGGAATGAACTCGCCGAGTCCATGAACGGACTCGACGAGTAGAGTCGGGTAGCCCCGCGACTCGCAACCTGTGACGACTCGTGGAGCATAGGGTTGACTCAGTGAGTCGGAGGGAATTAGAGGACTGGAGTTCAAGGCGGAACTCGCCGAGTCCATGAACAGACTCGGCGAGTTGAGTCGGGGTGGCCTCGCGATTCATGCCAGGTGTCACCCGTCGAGTAAGGGGGAAGACTCGACGTGTCATGCGAGATCAGAAAGATAGTGGGTACGTGTAGACTCGCCGAGTCGCCCAAGTGCACTCGGCGAGTCGGGTCAAAGTTTGACCGTTGACCTTTATTGACTTTTAGGGTTTGGTCAACTTTAGGGTCTTTGAGCCATGAGAGGGGTAAAATGGTATTTTACCCTTCTGAGAGTACTAAGAGGAGGAATAGTCTAGCCTTGAGAAATGTATTGATTCAGAGTGTTTATTTCATATGATTAGGCGGAGGCTAGACCCGACTTTACAGAGTTCGAGCTTTACCGAGTTAACCGAGGTGAGTCTTCTCACTATACTTTACCTAGAGTGGTAATTAGAGCTATGAGACAGAGTATTGTGTATGCTTTTGCATGATGTGATTTCTATGTGTTATATGCTATGTATGTTACAGAGTTTTCAGAGTTAGGACCGGAAGGTCCACAGAGTTAGGGTCAGAGGACCCATAGAGTTAGGGCCAGAGGGCCCACAGAGTTATGGGACTGGGGGGTCCCACAGAGACACTTTGACCAGAGTGTCAAACAGAGTTATAGCCTCGAGTGGCTAATATGTGTTATGTGTGGTATTTTGGGGAACTCACTAGGCATTTATGCTTACAGTGTTGTGTTATGTGTCTCAGGTACCAGCGAGGATCGCGGGAAGGCGCCGGCTTGATCAGTACACACGCGGGGAGATTTTATTATGATCTTGGGAGATGATGTTATGTGATACAATGGTGTTTTTATAACGATTATGAATGAAAACGTGTTTTATAAAATGTGAAAAATTGTTTTGAAAATTTAGGTGTTACAAGTTGGTATCAGAGCCTTGGTTTGAGGGATTCGGATTCATCTTCGGGCGTATCTGAACTCAAACTGAGGATTTGAGAGAAATTTTGATGACTAAAATTTTTTTTAAAGAGTAAAAAGAGTTTTGAGACAAACAGAGCAGAGCCGTGTGTACGATCAGCCAGCGCCCGAACGGTGATTTCCCAAAATACCCTTGTAATTAGTGTTATGAGATATATTATGTTATGATATATGATGAGTTATGCTATGCATGCTAGAGTAGACTAGGTATTCTTATTAGGACTAGAGTGGCCTGATATGTGATGCCTTAGTCTAGGAGTTTTGCTGCTAGGGATACTTGAGAGTGTTTAGATAGCAGCGAGGAGTTTATGAGAGAGCTGCTAGTGAGTAGCATATGGTTAAAGAGAGTAGAGTACTTGGGACTTGGGATCCAAGGAGGAGGACTTAGAGTGGATGCTGATGCGGTGTGGACGGTAGTATAGGGCCCGTACTACTGAAGACACCGGAGCAGTGCGCACCCTAAGTAAGAATCCATTGGGTACTAAGGAGCAAGTAGGGTGGAGTTATCGAGTGCGAGTATACTCGAGCGAGTCCCTGATATTTATTATGTTGTATTTCAGAGACATCATGGTTGGGACACGCCACACACCAGAGAGCAGTGGTACTAGTGATGAGAAGATCCGTAGGATCATTCATGAGGAGGTGGCTGCGGCCATCAGAGCAGAGATACCAGAGATGTTCGGGTCTATCAAGACCACACTGATAGAGACATTTGACGAGAGATACGCTGCTCTTTCTGAGGCTGCGGTTGCTGCGGCCACTGCAGCTATAGCTGCGACTAGGCCGCAGGGTGGTGATGCGTTGCTGTTTCGTGAGTTCAGCAACACAAAACCACCGGAGTTTGATGGGACCCAGGACCCGATTGCAGCGATGAGGTGGATATCAGACATTGAGGGGTGTTTCTTTACTTGCTCATCTCCAGAGCATTTGAGAGTCCGGTTCGCGTTGAACCAGCTTCGCTTGGGAGCGAAGGACTGGTGGAAGTTTGTGACGGCGCACTATTCGCCTACTGAGCTTGTTGCAGTGACCTGGGAGAGGTTCACTGCTATGTTCCGAGAAGAGTACGTTCCCCAGGTGGAGAGGGAGCGTTTGGCCCAAGAGTTTTTGACCCTCAAGTAGGGTACAGAGTCTGTTACAGTGATCACCAGGATGTTCCATGAGCGGGCGATGTTCTGCCCAGAGCACGTGTCCTCCGAGCAGGCACGTATGAGCCGATATCTGAGCATTTTGAGGAGGGATATACGAGAGTTCGTGGCGAACTCGACGTACCGGACAT